CTTGAACCTATACACCGTGTCACTCGGATCACTTTTATATTATCGTTGTGTGCTTGCATTTGGTTTTATAAATCAAATACTTCATTATTTGTTATCATCCATAAGTTTTTGAATAATTACGGTACGATTATTGGGTGATGTATATTTCTACTAATTTTAAAAGTAATTTAATGGACAAGTAAATATTACATCATACAATAACCGTTATACATAAAAGAGTGATCTAATATTTGGTCAATAGTTATTCAGTTTCAACTAAAGTTTCATTGACCACAATTAAAATATTTGCCGAAATATATCGTGAAAAAAAACAATTTACCAAAGTAAATATACCTTATTAAGCAACATACCAGATGAATATTAAATTAAAAGCTTTGCAATTATGCGAGGTAAAATACTGTGTAAAGTGTCAATTTAGTTTCCCGTAAAATGTGATTACTATAATCATTTAAAAACAATGAAATAAAATGAAATTGGCTTACTTCGACAAAGATCTGGTCAGCAATGATTTTCGTTGCAATTAATACTGTGTTTTTTTTTTAATATCGAACGATGGCAGAAAAAAAATATATGAGTTGACATCAACACGCACTATATTCTGAGTAAAAATAATCGAACGATTTATCACCATAGAATGTAACGAAATTAACAATATAATATTAAAATATAGCAGTAATAATATATTTGAAAGGAAAGATTGAGATTTTTGAAGACGAACCACTTGTTAGTTCTGCTGTGTGTGTGTTTGTGTGTATTGCAGCGGACGACGTGAGTACAGTTTATAATGCGTCCGGCTCTTGGAAAAGATCACCGAGCTGCAACGAAATTAATTTTCCAATATAAAAGCGATTACATTCTTCTATTCGTGGTGGCAGTTGTCTAGATATTATTATTATTATTGTTATTATTATTTCGGTCTTATTATTATGACTTGCGTTCGTAATGAATAATGTATGTCTGAACACGTGAAGATCACTACGACAATAATAATGTTTGCTTAAAGTTTTAATTATACTTGGACCCCGTGTCATCATATTGTATTAATACTGTATAAACATTAGGATGGTCATTAGTCATTATGTATGGTCTAGTTGTCTTTATGTTCTTTAAAATAAGAATTTCTTTAAAGTAACACATATACGAACTAAGTACAGTACATTTTTCCATTTGAAATACGTAATAATATTATATTTTTTATCGATAGGTATTTAATAGGATGAGAAAAGACGTTTATCTGAATAAAGTAATATAACTATAATTGTTAAGTGGTGGAATAACTATAAAAAGTTGTCGATGGTACGATGAATTAGTGGCATGTTAATGCCAACCGTGGGGAGGGGGGATTCTTATGTTAAAAGTTAGATAAGATACTTGGTTCTACCAAATACAGTTTAAAGCAAATTGAAATTCAATGTTTACATAATGCATCTAACTTTACCAATTACATTGGTAGCAATACACGGAGAAAACGATTAAACGATACTACCCCTGCTTTTGATTGGCCTGAGTAAAATAATTATTAATTTTGTAATATAATTAAAAATAGATATTTCGTATATATGTTGGGACTCCGTGATAATGTAGAACAAATGTAACACGCATCTGGGATAACATATTTATGCATTTTAAACTACAGTGAAACCTGTATATAACGGACAGTCATAGGACCAAAATAATTGTCCGTTATAGACAGGTGTCCGTTGTAGACATGTTTCAATGTTTTAAAAATTAAAATGTTAAAGTACATTTTACGTATTGTTTCATATTTTATAATATGTACATATTAGGTATAATCTTTATTAATATTATACATATATCATAATAATTTATTTATTAATATAAGTAAAAATATATGTATTATACATTTATACACATACATTCTACATTATGAATTGAATTTTAATTATTTATTACAATTACAATTATTAATTTTATATTATATACACACAATAACACATTATAAATGTATTATATGTACATACTATTATATTTGTATACATTTATTAACTATTTTTAAAAAAATGATTCTATTGATATTTGTTTTTTGAACTTCGATTTGGGCATTTCCAACTCGTGATGGATAATTAATTCGCTCATATATGAAAATCCTTTTGTTTTTAATTTAAAGCTTTACGCGGCACGGGAGGTGGCATTGCTAAGGAAAAGATGTACAACTCTGACTGCGAACAGTGCGAACCGATAGAAACTGAATAAAAACGTTTGATACTCATGGTTATCATATTTTATACGTATTGCAATTTATATCTGGATATCTTGGACTGTAGAAATTCAATAGACAATTATAGCGTTATCGTAATCGGCGATAATGTAATTACTAATTGGTCGTAATCCATGTTTTCACTGAATGACCCAATTGCGTTCCTTATCGACGCTGTTTAGTAGAATGTATATATGTTTTTTTGTCCGTTATGAAATTGTTGGATTAAATATTAGTATCCGTGTCCGTAAAAGAAGGAGTCCGTAATAGACAGGTCGAAATACATTAGAATGCCTATCTTTTTGCAGGGACCTGGTCATTTTGACCTTTAAGAGAGGTGTCCGTTATAGACAGGTGTCCGTTAAGTCAGGTTTCACTGTATAATAATAAAATATAAATACTGTAATAGCGTTTTGCAAAATTACATTTTATTATTAAAAAAATATTTCGTATACATTTCGGTCTTTATAAATTATTGATGCAAAAATTAAACACATCCTGAAACCCGTTGTCGTCACAAGTTGAACAACTAACCAGATTGGAGTTCAGTCAGTTAAGATTGTATATAGGAGGTGGCAAACTGAAATTTGAAAGTGATTTTTATTCAGTCAGTTTGCTAGTGGTCGTTGCATACAAATTCAAACGACCACTCTAATATCATGTAAGTACCTACTTACATGTATTTTCGAGTACAGTTGAGATGTGGTACAATGATCATCTGGATTTCATTTATTTGGGGTTTGTTTTAATTACCGCTCTGGTTAATTCAATTTCGAAATCGCTCCTGCTGGACAACATATGCGTCCTCGAATTTCGTAATATTTTGTAAACTATAGTATTTCAAGATCATAATAATATTATCTCCTTCTCCTTATCAATTATTACAAACACGAGTTTTTGAAAACTTTTCTATGAGAAAATGTATGTTATTAAATTTGAATTTTTATATAAATATTGTCTTGTTCATAAGTACTGTTAAATAAACTTCATTTAAATTTCTATCGATCATTGATACTCCCCATTCTCGGAGAGATACTTAGGATAATACAGGACTTGGGGACATACTGTAATTCATTACTACACAGACCAAACGACGTACGTTTTCGAACCAAACACTCAAGTCGCAAAATAATACATTATTCAATATATTAGGTATATATACGAATTACGAGCAAACGAAAGTAATTTCATTATAGTAATGATATTCAAGTTGGACATGTGCATCGTATTCATTGTACTAATGCGTATAAAGCCCATAAGACTTGAGCTGCAATAATACTATGCCCTGCAGATAGTCAAAAAATGTATTTCGAGTCTTGTATTATTTTAATGCCTGAAAATGGATTAAACTTTTTCTATGTTCAACGATTTGATAAAAAAAATATTAAGATTTTCTAGTTTATAATATAATATTATGCAAGCCCTATATTATAATCTATGAAAGCATAACCTTGACCTGAAATAGAATTTGGAAAAAACAAATATTCATCTGCATTGAATCTGTAAACAATAACTGAGTCTCACTATTTACAAGTCTGAAATAAATGTGTTCACAGTCGCTGTCAACTGTAATAAGTGTTTTATATATTTTTATTCGTTTCAAGTTTCGTGACAAAAAGCGTTTAAAAAAATGTTCGTATTTCGTGCAAGACATTTTGACTCCCTGGACTTAAATATAATAAATTCCTCAAGAGTTGACGGATTTTTTTGTCCTCGCTTTTAAATTATCATAGATTAGGTAAGCGCGCAGCAAATGGATAGTATTTTAATACGTATTGAAAGGCGTCCGATGGAAATCTCGGAGTATTGTTGGCATCGAGACAATCACGTGTCTGCAAGTTAAGCTCACTACCATGATACACGTTTATCTATTTTGGCGTTGTTTAAAAGAAAAACAAACACGGGACGGTAATACGATATAATATTATTATATCGAAATCTGTGAAAAACCAGATAAAAAAACATCTATGTAACAGAGATAGATTTAGAAAAAATATATACCTGCAGTTTAACCAATTATATTTTTTGTGACGATTCCCATGTACACAATATGACAATCGCTTATTCTATTGGTATATATTGTACATCCACACACATACACACTCACTCTGTCGCTTAACAGTGATATACAATATACATAGATGTTCGTTTAGATATTACATTTGTCTAGTACATTTTGCATTGCTAGACATTGTTTCAATTTAATTGTAAATATTTTTGCATGAAAGTATAACTCAGTTAAAATAACGGGAATCTCTAATATTTTTTTACCGATAATATCGCTAACGATAAGTGAATTATTAAAAAATTCTTGAATTCATTAACATGCGTAATTATTTAACCGTGTACGTCATGGGCATCCCCAGGCGAGCGCAACACTGGGCACTTCCTCCACCTGGAATTTTCAATCTGTTTACTTTTTGCGCAAATATATTATCTAGATGTCCATTGTCTATTTCAAATTACATTTCCTTCTAGAAAAATGTCTAGGGACGCCCATTGTGTATGCTATTAATATAAGTTTTTAAAATAATATTATGTATTAATATATATATGTATAGTAATATTTGTTTTTGATATAATTTGAAACTTTGTCTAGATGATAATATTATTTTGACAAATAACACTGCAGATTTGTCTTTAAATATATTGTAAAGATTCTCTAGAATTACTGATTTTTTTAAAGTAAATGAAAATACAATATATGATGTAGTTAATAAAAATATTATAGTTACTTTATATAAAAGTCCTTTTCAGTAATAACTGTATTTTTTCGTTTCAGGTGACGTTGTCTATATCAATTTTGATTAGTCTTCACGTTTTTTTCTTGCTGGTTGTCGAAATTATACCTCCGACGTCATTAGTAGTTCCATTACTGGGAAAATATTTGATATTCGCTATGATACTGGTTTCAATAAGGTAAGGTTATCATTATTAAATTTAACGAGATATTATGAACATTTTGATTGGAATCAGGATTACAGAACTGCTTAGCTATGAAGGAAAATATCTTGAATTCATAAAATAAACTGATTTTGTAGCCATACAGAGACAGAAATAGATTGAAATAAACAATAGTCAGTATAAAAATAATAATAACAATTTCTATACAAATATTGTTTTTTAACCATTTTCTGAAAAAAATTATAAAATATATGGCATGCTGTTTGTCACTGTTTCATAACTTATGCAAAATTAAGCACATCAATTACAATTGCACGTGCTTTAACAATTTCTAAGTTAAAAAATTTTTTAATGTTACATGGTACGTCATGACGTATTATTTTATAATTTCATATAACCCGGAAGTATAAATTATTATTTTAAATTTTATAACGTTACATAAGTTAATACGATTTGAGAAGTATTATGAATGATTTTAAACTATTTCTTAACATATTTTGTCATTTTAAAATTGTATATTATTAACATTTGGTAGTGCAAAAAACACCAATGGAGAAGTTATATTATAATATTATTAATATGCATCGTAAAATAAATGTTTATCAGCCATCATCGACATTTCAATCAATACAAAAAGAAAAGACAAACTATATAATGTTGTGTTACTATTTTTAGATTTTTTTCTTTTGAAATTGTAAACAATAGGTTTTTTTTTTTTAAACTATTTTCACTACCTATTTGCTTATAATATTACAAACTGCAATCAATATAGACTCATTAGTAATTATATATTCAGTCTAAATACGAATAATACGTAAAAAGTATTAATACACCAGCTACTGTTTTTTTTTTTTATAAAATATGATAAATAAAATATACTTCAATCAATATCAGCACACTTCATATTTTGCAATAAGTCCTTTCAACTTTTTGCAGCACAGCAATGCTTCAATTATCAACGTTGAGGGGGGTTTCTAGTAAAAAATGTGATCAAAAGAAAACAATGAAATTCCTAATATAATATTTATTATATATTAATAATTGGAAATACTTCAAAAAAAAAAAAAAAAAACAGTGGGAAAACAGTAGTATAATAATATACAACGGTGTAACGCAACATCATCAATGTTTGAATGATTTGTTTTATGTTATAATTTTTAAATAAATAACCGTAAGTCCATAAACACTTATACTTTTTGCCAAACATTATATTAGTATTTCCAAGATACAACAATATTATTTTGACTTTTTTAATTAACTCTTTTAAGCTATGTTGACTTGAATATTGAATACAAAAACCAACATTAGTTATTCTTACTACTATTGAAAAAAAAAACAAAAGTCCAATTTGTTCATAATTATTCTTATATGCGTTTAACATCCATATTATGTTGATAGAATTCGTCGAAATTACTAACATATAGTAGTATTCATATAATATAGGTTATGTATTTTTTTCAGTGATATTGCGAGTAAACCTAAACTTTCTGCAGTCTGTATTATATCAATCAATGTTATAATATTTATGTATCACTGGTCAGGCAATTCGATTGAACGATTTTATTCAATCTGAGAGGTTATATCATACCATTCGAGTGAACCTTATTTAATATTTACCATACTATTATAGCTGAGTATAATATCATATTTTGTTATACATATCCATCATATCTTTTAGTATTAACGTATCTATGAATGTTTTTTTATTTATGTACCCGAGTTTGCAACTCTGTTTTTCATCATATGCATACTACTGTACAGGATTTGTCATTTGGCTGGAAATCGTGAAATAGGTGGGAGGTGCCAAATAAAAACAACGTTACCGACATAGACTTCACTAATATTATTACTTTCATTGTAGCCGTCCCAATCGTCAAATCGAAACATATTGTTCTCGCTTACAATACAAACGCAACAAATTGAACGCGACAGACAATAGTAATTTAATATCGGGGCGAGTAGTAGTGCCTACCTACTATTATAACTGCAGCAGTATCAAAGCTGCACCAGCAGTACGGTCGAATCGCCACGTGGTATACGTAGGTAGGTATACCTACACAAATCGGGTTAGAGACTCAGAATTCGAATCGAGCACGCGTAACAAACGGTCGGTTTCCCCTAGAAATAAGAAAACTAATTTCCTACGATCGCGTTAAACTACCCCGCGTGTGTACATGGCGTTGCCATCGTATTACATTATTATATGCCGGTATAATATTTCTTATACGTTTTCCTCTTCATAACCGTTCGCATCGCGAGTGCGCTACTAATGCAATTTATTCATAGTTTTGATATTAACTTTGGCGTACGTGTTCGTGTTGTACGTACACGCATATACATATAATATTATAGCCATGGTATTAAACGCGTATATTTTAAGCCGTGCGCCGTGGTCGAGGGCTTTCGAAAATTTTACGTGAAATAATGTCAAGTCCCGTACTTCAAATATTCTGTAGTACCGTGGCCCCGTGTAGGTATAATATAGCAGCCGCTGTTTGCTGCACACTGCTTAAATATCATACACACATACGTTGTGGCGGACGCTTAATTAATCCCACCCTACTATATTTTGTTAACACTTCCACGCCGCAATTTAATTGGTTTCGAATATCCGATAAGTAATTGACTGCGTGCGTATATACAGGGTGAGCCAATAAGCATGCTCACCTCCCATTGTTTTCCCTCAACAATACATATTTTAAATTTCGATTTTTTTACACATTTTCAAGAAATATATTATTATCAAAGATAAAAATGTGGGTGTGCATACTTTGTGAATCACTATTTGTATGTGGTATGTCATTTGCATACTATGTCGAATATAATAAAGTTTTTAGTTGTTTTGATTAAGTGTAAAAAATAATATTATTACCAACAGCTTTACCACCTATACCTACCTATTAAAATTATAGAGATTATTTACGACAAAAATTAGGTGTGAATATAAATACAAGGTCTATGGTAAGTTGCACAATATGTTAAACCTGTTTGTGAATCCAATGTAGAACTACATTAATTAGTGGTAGCCAGATGATAGAGAACCGGTAGATGGGAGGAATTGACGGAAAGAGTAAAAGATTTTTTTATTCAAAACAATTCTGTTTAAGGAAAGAGAACAATTGATTTATAAATATCACAAAATTCGTATTCACGAGAGTTGAGAGGGTACACGATACACGAAGGACTACAATTGAACCAAAAGTTGAAGCATATTTCGGTAACGAATTATGACCAAGGTTCGCAGCCTTAAGAACCGTACCAGTGTACCACTATGGGTGGACAAACATCTAGAGCCTAAAACCGTTTGTTAAATATATTTATATAACACTAACATGTGACGATCATGTGAATTATGTCAAAATATAATTATAACACTTTTATTTGATGTCATGTTTTTGGTGAAGGCTAATGATATGACACCTCTATATTATGACTACACACCTAAATCCCACATCAGGAGTGTCGCCAGTGGGTGGCTTTTCTCCGCTAAATCTTTCTGTCAGTAACCTTCTATACAAACACAATAACACTAAAATGTATAATACAAAATATGTATGGATTGTTTGGTTCGATTAAATAAGTACTAAAAAGAAAATTTTATATATTATTACCCGTGATCGAACAATTGTTCACATGGTTCACACAATGTCATATCATTGATTACATATAGAAGTATATTGTATTACTACGTATAAACTATACTATAATCATATCTTCTTGAAATCGGATAAAAACGTTGTGTTGTTGTACGGCGTTTGTAATGTCCATCGAAACGAAAGATTTTTGATAAACCAATGAGTACGATTGCAGAAAATGATCCATTGGTTTTTTTTTTTTTGATTGAGTGGGAAACACATTTTTCCCGAGAATAATCCAACACATTGTATTAATATTATGAGATAGCTATGGTATACATTAAATATTGAAAATGTTCATTCCTTATCCACAATCGGGCCCGAGTACATTGTTGAGATGAAATGCGTTTCATTATTTCCGAATCACGATAGTACAATACGAACATTGGGACGCATTTTTGTTAAGATACAAATTACAAATAACACGAATAACTATTATGGATACACGATGAGCGTTATACAAATGCGAAGTTTGTAATAATAAATTGTAAAATATATACCCTGCGATTCACCATCATGCCACACCCCTTTTATTATTTAATAAAGGAGTTATTCAAATTCTGTTTTTTAAAACTATTTGGTACACAAATAAAGACCATAGTTTCAGATGCTGTTTATAACATTTAACAAGTACCCTATGGTGACACAAACTTCTTTTCGTCAAAGAAAAACCACCCTTTTTTCTTTAAACTAAATTAAGCAGATTATTTTTTGAACAATTCGAAATTCAGACTAGCAATTACTGAGTTATTAAATTGTATGTACGTACTAAGGTTATTAATCTTTGATTCTGATTGTTAGTCAAATATAAAATATAACCACGTAAGTCGCAAGTACTCGAGTTTATAAAGTACACTGTTTAGTTATTATAATCGTACATTTGTACTTTCACATTATAAAATGCTACTGGCTATATTATTATTACTTAGTAAAGTAGTATCAAATTATCATAGACCAAATACCAAAATCAAAATCAATATAGTTTATTTGTGTGTAAATTATCATCATAATTACTATTAGTACTAGGATTAGTATCCTATTAGAACATAAAGCTTAATAGTTTAGAAACTGTTGTTTCGAAATTAAATGTATTGCAAATATATACAATATACATATTACATATTACATAGAACACAGGTACCTACATATAAAAAAAACCATCTACTTAATAATATACAACAAAAAATATTTGTATCAACCACGTCCTATGGAACACTCCTTAAATGGGTAACATAGAAAAAATGTGTTCAGCAGATTACAGAACCCATTTTGCGTTATAACTTTACTATAAAAACAAATTAACATATTAAATACCATCAAAGTTAAAGGAAAGTGTATTATTTGTATTTGTACGATAAGGTTTTTAAAATATTTTAATCT